ATATCCATGGTACTGCATCAACATCAGCTATTCTGGATGTCACTGGTAAGCTCAAACATTCATTCAATCAACTGCTCATTCATTCATTCACTCATTCATTCATTCATTCATTCATTCACTCATTCATTCATTCATTCATTCATTCATTCATTCATTCACTCATTCATTTATTCAACTTATTCATTTACCTAAAATCGTGACCTCAAGTTTAAAACATTGAATGTTCAGTTCCTCACTTGGACAACATCAAGTTCGATGGTTCCTCGGACGTCACTCCTTATCTTACGGAAGAATACGGATTTAAGAAAATCAACTATGCCAGTAAGTTACTAAAACCATCGTCTTTCTGTATATTTCGAAAACCATTTTGCGCTCTTCCAGGCTTGCCAACACCACCCGATCGAGGCCCATTCATTAAGGAGGTCACCGGTCACTACCTCACCTTATCATGGATTCCAACAAAGCGAGCACCACCACGATATCCGCAAGTGTCGTACGTCATTGAGATTAGGGAACTTCCAGAGAAGGAGTGGACTATGGTGAGTGGGCAAAGTTTTTTTTTCGAAGAAATTTCTTCTCTTGCTTATTGTTGGGTTACTGTAGTCGTAAAAGTTGTTATGACTCGTTATTCTTGTATTACAGCTTGACTACAACATTCCGGAACCAGTCTGCAAAGTTCGAAACCTCGAACTGGGCAAGTCATATCAGTTCCGCGTCCGAGCAGAAAACATCTATGGTATCTCTGATCCATCACCAGCTTCACCACCATCTCGGTAATTTCTAGAAACTTCCAGAATGAACCGGAGTAATTCTATAATTTATAGGTTGATGGCACCACCACAACCAGTACTGGATAAGAAGACAAAGAAAATTATTCCTTTGTTGGATCCCTACGCAGAGAAAGCTTTGGATCTCGCTCATGCTGAGCAGTACGGTGGGATTTTTTTCTCTGATCATTTTTGTGGTCCTGCGCAGAAAGCAAAACTTAGCCATTTCCCTCTTCTTTAGCTTGCGCTCCATGGTTCGCGCCTGGAGTCATTGAGAAGAGGTACTGCGCTGAGAATGATGTGCTACAAATAACCCTGAATGTTTCCGGATATCCCGATCCGGAAATTAAGTGGAAGTTCAGAGGTATTCTAAAATCAATAATCGATTGGTTCCATTTTTTACGAGTTTTCAATGCCATCGCTTTCAGGATGGGACATCGATACCAAGGGTCCATTATCCCAATGTAAGGTATATACTATTGGAGGCACTGAGACGACACTGCTAATCAATTCGTTCACTAAGGTGAGAAAGATTCATGGTAGCTAAAAATCAATAATCTTCTGGATTGTGTTAAATTAGGTCTGCTATGGCCGTTTTTTCCTTTTTTCCCGTTTCAGTAAAGCTTAAATAGTACTGCTGGCCGGGTTTTGAAATAATAAAGTTCTCTGAAACTCCTTGAAAATAAGCACAATAATACGCAGTTCGTCTAGGTGGTCCTGTAGTGCTGTCCTTTATTCATTGATTAATTAATTGATTGATTGGTCGATTGATACTTATCTTTAGGATAACGTTGGTCAATATCAATGCTTTGCCACGAATGCGTACGGTGAGGCGCAACAGAATATCATGGTTGATCTCGCTGGTAATTTGAGCAGAAGCTTTTTGTTGATTATTGATTCACACAATGACTAATCAATATATTGATCGATTTTAGTTCGACCAAACTTCATCCAACCCTTATCGAACCGAACCTTCTCCGATGCTCAACCGATGCGACTAGATGTTCGTGTTGAGGGTCAACCTTTCCCTGAAATAAAATGGCTAAAGGTAGTGTTACGATTAGAATTTACTTTCATTGATTTATTGATTTTTCTTGCAGGAATGGCGGCCAATAGTGGAGTCAACTCGAGTGAAATTCATCCAAGATGGTCCATACTTATGCTCATTAATAGTTACGGATCCGATGTGGCGTGACAGTGGTATCTACACCTGCATAGCTGTTAACGATGCTGGACAAGCGACAACTTCGTGTTCGATAACTGTAGAAGGTAGCGGTAGTCCGAGATTACGAAAATTTAATCTTCCCATATCGTCACTAGTTGGTAGTTAACAAATGTAGGAACTAGCAAATGAATTTGATCACATAATAAATGAAATTTTTTCATATGCTAAGATGCAAATGGCAGAGTTAGATTAGCTAGAATTGGTTGTTAGAAAAATGTTTTGACACAAAAACTGGTCGCTTGACTAAAAATAATGGAAGTTCCTAGATACTTTGCTAGGACATCACTTTTAATTACGTTTGAATGAGTATGGATTACAATCAATTATGTGTGGCCGCAAACGCATATCGGTGGAATTAAGGAGCTTGGGGGGGAATAGGAATTGCGGCTAAAGTGATTTATTGATTTCTTGAACCTGAGATTTTTAATTTTCTGTATTGTCGTAACATTTGCGGCTGGTATAGAAACACTCGTATAGGGAAGACCGGGAAGTGTGGATCAACGAATACAGGAGGTAACCAAAAATTGTGCCCACTATGTGCTCTTTAGTAACTTTTATTCTAGATCTTAATTTAGATTTTTACTTATAACGGTTTGGCGATCACAGGGAAATTGTAGCTAGCTTGTAGCTGAACTTATTCACCCCTAACTTGTGTTATTTGGGGTCAATATAATTATAACTGGTCCAGAGTTGGTTTGAGAGCTATTTTAGGCTAATATTAACGTTTGCCAGCGCTGAAACTGTTTTCAACTTCGCCCTAAGGGATAGAGTTCTTCACCCATACCAAGAGTACTTTTTTGCGAACCCCTTGAATGTGAATAATTGCAACTTTTTAGCAAACTCTGGGTGGTGGAGTTATGGTTAGTTGGGAGAAAAAGAAAAGAGAATAATTTTAACTCTTCCTGCTATCCAAATAAGCATTACGCTGTTTGATTAAAAAACATATTGTGTTGCTCCAGTTTCAAAGAGTAACAGACTTACTTTGACCGACAATTTGCATATTATGCCCTAACAGACCCGCCATGGAGCAGTGCATCAAAAAATTCCAAAAATTCTTAGTGCTCTGGTGCTCTGCTACGCTACATATGTGACGTGGCATTCTTATGATATGCTTACATGTGGATTTCTTGAAATAAAAACTGAAAAAAAACCTAAAAACCTTTACGTCATCCTTTTGAAACTCGAAATTAGGATACCTTAATTACTAGTTTTTCCCACAATCTAT